CTTTTGCTTAGACTTAGTGTAGTGCGGTCGGGCACTTCAACGAATGCGGCAAATGGCAAAAAAAAGCTTCATCCCCACCACATGTAAGGAGTGAGGGAAACGGAAGAATATGAAGAGGAAAATGATGGGGGAAAACAAAGAATCATGAAAAACCACTCATGAACCACTCATGAACCACTCATGAACGAACAACCGCCCATAAATATCTCATTCCTGCGTACAAACGGTCTGTCTGTGCCTCCTCCACAATGCCAAAAACGAAAAAAAAGAAAAAAGAAAAACCCGCTGATTCCCACGACCCTCGTCGCTTTCCCACGTTTTTTCTTGACACTATTTCGTATTATTATTCTTAGCTCATTGAGTTACTGTACTTAGTTCGCTGCTTACGGATACTAGCTATGCCCGCTATCTCCACCGCTCCCTCCAGGCTCCAGATGCCCCTGTCGTGCCGTCTCGTTTCGTATAGCTCGGTGTATTTTAATTACGCACGGGCCCGTCATCGCGTCCCGGTATCTGTGACCTGGATCCCTGCTGCAGCTCACGCGGCAACCCAGGTATCGAGTACCACCCGCATCATTAAAGTTTTGTTCAGCCCCTTCCCGCGAAATGACGACTCAACCGATGCCTCTTCAGCACACCACGTCAAAACGGAGCCCAGCCAGCCAGCCAGCCAGCCAGGAAGCCAGCAAGCCAGCTGGGAAGCCAGGAACCCAAGCCAAGTCGGAGTCGGATCGAGCTACACAGAAGATCCTGCCATCTTGATGGTGATAGTCATGGTCATGGTCATGGTCATGGCGATAGAAATGATTCAAATTGATGAACCGGATGCAGCTCGGAATGAAGGCAAACTGACTGGACAACACACAGCACAAGGGCCAAAAAAAGGGTTGAATGGAGAGAGCATACTTTTTCCTCACTAATCCCGCATCCAAACCCCGGAAATACTAGTCGTCTCTTGCCACCTACCTGTTTTAGCTAAGAAATGCAAATAACTATGCCAAGTTAGCTCAGGGCAAAGAGAGGACAAAATAGTGCATGGCACAAAAACATAAATATAAAGCAGCAACGGGGGGAAGCAAGGCAAAGTGATAGCTTGGAAAACATGACGACTGAACCCGATTCTCTCCTATGCAAGGATGGATGAGCGATTCACCTGTCACGTCCAAATAGAAGCTACTCTGCTCTGCTGCCCGCCAGCACACGTTGCACCCTCGCAATCCCAATTCCTTCCTTTCAACAAAGAAATGAAAGGGGTGGAAATAATGAGAGAATTCACGTTTTGCTGGCAGGTGATGGCTTGACCTTCTAGTCATTTTTCAAATTTAATAAAAATATACATTATTGGGTACCTGTACAGATGTACTAGTAGTAAGCGGACACATGTTCTCCACACTGTGCATTGTCACCGATAGAGGAGAACTCAAGTG